GCACCAATTCACAACACGTCATCTCAAGGCACTTTACAGTTCACCAGATCATCCAGTTAAATGGATTCAAAGTTTTCTATTCCAGGAAAACTAGCTGATTGCATCGACTCATTGACTCTCAGCAATCTCCTGAACCAAGCATGCTTGTAGCGACAGTGGAGAGGAAAAACTCCCTTTTAACAGGAAGAAACCTCCAGCAGAACCAGGCTCAGTGTGAGCGGCCATCTGCTGAGGCCGACTGGGGTTCGAGGAGACAGAAGCAGAGACACAAAAAGCAGCTGTAGGTTTCATAAAGTAGTTGTTTTTGTGCAGATTTTGACATAGACAGCATACGATGATCCAAGCCATCTAATTCCAAATAGTGAATTATAGTGAATTGCAAAGTTTCTTAATGTAACATATTGGGACATTAATGAAATGTTGTCCTCCGCACTCCCAAATCCAAACTTTTAAATCCACTAAATGTACCTTTAGTTTACGGTATATATCAATTCTTTAGTGAAAGACATTCTACCTTGTCAGAGATTGGTTTTCTTTCAAAATTTTTTCAATGTTTGGTAATTTTATAATATGAGAAACTATACACATACTTAAATCATTTACAATAATATTATTATGGATTTGAGCAGCTATTCTGCAATAAATTGTATAAAAAACATGTTGAATAGCATTAGAAGAGACATCTTCAAAGGGACAAATGGTTTACCTGCAGATAAATATATTTATTGAATGTAAGAGAAGGAAGCTATCTCCTAATTAGTTAACACACATTTGTTCCATATTACTACAATTTAGTCCATGCTTAAATTTTTGATTTAGACAAGGTTGTAATACAAGTAATCAAATGATAATGTTAGACAAAAAAAAGATGGTACTTTTGATTTAGTCGTTTTTGGCAGCACATTTATGAGCAATCACCACCAACCAGTTAACTATATTTAACAAAGTGAGTTTTTCCAGCACTTTCCAACAAGTTGTTTCATAATTTTTTTTGAAAATGTCTGTTTTGAAGTTGAATTTCTAAACTGCGGGTTATAGGTGTGCATAGACTTTCAATGAGCTGGGGCCACCAGTGATTTTGCCTCAATCCACATTGAGTATTTAGTTCACGTTTGCACCAAACTGAGGTGAAAGAAAAAAAATTCTCATTGACCTTTTTTATATGCTAAGTGTTTAAACCTTGTTTGAATATAAATGCCTGCTAAGTTGACATTTCTCCATGTTCTGGTTGTTTTTCCAATATTATGATTAAAGAAACCATTTTTGTTTTTTTTTATTTCAGAAAGTTCTTCTGCATTTGTCTTTGAAAACCAGAACAATTGTGTCCCTGTCAGCTATGAAAAACACGCAACTGAAAAGCATGAAGAAAATAGTCTTCAAAAGAAAAACGTTCTGTCTGGATTTGAAGAGAAAATTTGTCATCATGTGCCTCCCATCGAAAAAACATTTAAACAACATTTCAACATGGCTGAATTTCAGGAACAAAGGAGCGGATACAGCAAAACTACAGAGGTGGAAGAAAAAAGGGTGAAGATAGTAACGTCAGTGTCTGTCAGTGATATGGAAAAGCCCTCCCAAAAGGTCAAATTAGAGCAGTCACATGAGGGCCTATCTGGAAATCCAACCAACTCATCTCCACTAAAAACAGACATCTTCAATGTTGACTATCCCGGGTCACATGTGAAAGTTGAAATCCAAGAAATTCTACAAGGGAATCCATATAGCATCAAAACCACATGTGTTTTTATGAATGAAAATAAAGGTGGTGAGATGACTATCACGCGGGAATGTGAGGAAACACAGATGCCTGACCTTCAACAATTGCCGCAGCTACCAAACGATGTGATCAGTCACAACAGGCATCATGAAATAAATTACACATTTAGGTTTTGCAGCATAAGTGAACAAACAAAGTATCAGAGTGATCTGAGATCTGTCTGTTTATCAAACAAAGCTGGTGATCCAAGGTACTGTCATTGTTGCAGTGCTAAACATTTAAGGGATCCATCATTGTTGCTAGACATTGATCCTAAGGAGAAGATGAAAGGTACTTTCAGACAAGATCAGTTCAACCAATTTTCAGCACCACAGATCTTTGCAGAGAATAAATATAACACTTCAGAGGACCTGACAAATGATCTGGCTTCCTTAAGGATAGAAGGAACCGCAGAATCTGTATCCCCGATATCTGTACAGGAGAAGGAATATGAAGATTTAGCCTTTGATCAGTTCTCAGAATCTGATAACTATGAGCCCATGTTCATGAGACCCTCCGTGTCTACCAACAGGTCAAGCTTTGTAAAAGATTTTATCTACTGCCAAAAGAGAAAGTCTTGGATAAGAAACAACAGCATCGCTACAGTGGAGCATAAAGACTATTTGTTGTTGAAAAAAAGACGGCAGACATTTCCTGGGACGTCACTCACTCCAGAACTGATTCACAAGGATTTTATGCTGCCGTACAACAAATCGGTTTCATCTGTCCTTATGTGCTTACTTCCTTTTCAAATTGAAAAGCTGGGTAAAAACAAGCAGTTAGATGAGAGTTTTCCTACTTATATGAGAAGAAGTGATGCTTCTTCAAATAGTGGACAGAGCACTAAAGCCCTTTCAGAGAGTTCAGAAATTCAATACACAAGTGTGGGGATAGACAAAGACATGAACCCGGAGCTTCATGTGGAAGAGATTATTCAAGGAGCCCTTGCTATACAAGTCATTCCTCCATCTTGCAGTGGCTCTGAGGAACAAATCCTCCAGATAGATCCTGCAGTAATTGCCAATGACATAGATGATAAATATTTTACAGAAAGAGATTCTGATTCACAGCGTAGTAAGTCCCCAGTGGCAACAGCACCTGCTGATGCTCTTCACTACAATTTTATTCAGAACAATTTGAAAGGCAGTTCTTTTAGGAGTTGTTTGCAAAAGGCTGTTGTTTCAGAATATCTCTGCATATCAGAGGAGACTGAAATGAATGTCTTAAAAACACACGCTTCCACTGAAATCAAGCCCAACCCAAGTGAACAGCCAACTAGCAGCGCTTCACATCTACTTGTGGCTGATGAAATGAACAATAACGATGGGCCTCAACAAAGAAATCAGGAAGACTCTAACAAAGCAGCAGACAGTTCATTAAGTTCTCTCAAACCATCTAGAGAAAACACAAAAGAGCTGCCTGTTGCAGTTGGCAAAACAGAGAAACTCACTGCATACAAGTGTAAGTTGCTTTGTTGAATTTCTGTTTGAATAAATCATCTGAAACTAATCAAAATGAAACAATCATGGTGTGATCTATTATGACTACTTTCAGCTAACTCTGACGCTCGAGAAAATTTAAAGCCTGCACCTCACAAAGACAGAGACGGCACAGACCCCTGGGCTAGGAAGAGAAAGCTCTTCAAGGACAGCAGGCAGTGGAGTTCTGCAGGTGGAAGTTCAATTACCAGTGATATTACAGAGGAATCAGGTAACCGTTATTAAAAACTAGTTGCTTTAATCGTACTGAAATCTGATGAGTCTCTCATCAGATTTCAACTAGAAAAGCAGTTCAACCTTTGAGGTCTCAAATGGAGAAGTTAGAGAGCTGAGCTAAAAAGTCACACTTTCAATTTAAAGGATATTCATAAGCCCCATTTACACTCCCCTCTGAAAACTGATCCATGCAGTGTTCAGATCGTGCCGAGCTTGGTTCCTTACAACCATTTACACACCACACTAGAATGGGTCCTTACCTCCCAGTGACGATCTACGGTACTGCTGCTCTCTATAGGGAATAAAGCAAATCAACATGGTGGCCCCTGTAACATTCAGGAAGTTTGGTTATAATTGTGAAATGTCGTGTGTGATCACAGCAGTCAGGCAAAGAAGGCAGCCTTCGGTGAATTTACTTGAAGGAGTCGGCTGTTGGGTAGTGGATACGACAAACATAGTCTTATCAGCGCTTACAGGCGCAGGAAGCTATGACAGACTTTGAGGTTCATCACACTGCTAAGTAGAATCATCTCTTGAAATTGTGTGGCAAGGTGGGGAAGCTAGTATTTTTATGAATGTTGCAATGAAGATGATGCGGTCTACTCGTGCACTCTTTGTTATCTGAGAACCATGCCAAAATTTAATCATGGCGAGCCCTACTGATGAACAAGTACCAGTTTAGCACGGTTCGGTTGTGTCTGGCACGGTCCACTTCAATTTTGCATGCCATTTACACTCAACAGTTATCTCGGTTACCAAAAGGGTAACCGAGATAACTGTTTCAGAAAGGTAGTCTAAATGGGGCTATTAACAAGGAAAAGAGACTTAAAGGTGCTATAGGAGATCTTGGAAAAACTTTTCCAGCAAGCTATATTTTTGAACATACACAACCATGCCTCTTCCTTCAGACGACCCCCCGAAACCACACCTTCAAAACACATGAACGCGCATGATTTCTAAACTGGCAGGGAGACAGGCAGCACTGATGATGCAGAGTACTATGATCACTCCTCTGAACCTCTGAAACAGTTTATTAGCGCCTAAATTGACTTAAAATGCCAAAATCTGACGGCAAAACATGTTTGCTTTTATTATCCTGGTGCCTGGAGTTTGGATTACGTACATGAAAAACGCCTTCCACCCTCCGCCGCAAGCCGCAGGGAGGCGACCGGGCCAGAGGCTACTGTTGAATGGGAATCCTAGCGACATCGACAATGTACAGGGATCTGAGCAGCTCTGACAGAAATTATATCTGAAGGCAGGATGGTAATCTGGATCAACTGACTGTACTGACCATGTTTTTCAGGTGGATTTTCTCACGTCAAAATAGAATAGATTCAAACTACTTTTTACCCACTGATCACAGCAAATATATCTGCCATTATTACAAGCAAAGAAAGGATAGGGTAGCTCTGCCCAACGAGCATCAGAACCAGTTTTTCCACCGCGCAGCCAGAGCAGCAAAGATAGGGTGACCAGACGTCCTCTTTTTCCCAGACATGTCCTACCTTTCAGACCTAAAAAAAATGTCCGGGGGGAATTTCAAAATTGTCCGGAATTTTGGTTGACTACAGTGCAGTACATAGTCAAAATAGGAAGCCAGAGGGGGGACGGAGCGAACAAACCTGACCTGGTAACGCCTCCCCTGCCTGCCTTACCGGTCCCCAGCCCCCCTCCTCTGGCTGAAGACGAGCGGCTCAGGGTTCTGTGCTGAGGTCTGGTCCAGTCAGCGGCCCAGCAGTCGACACTCCCCCCAGCCCCCCAAAACAAAGTTTCCTCTTTTTCTGAAACCTAAATCTGGTCACCCAAGCAAAGATGCTTCAGCCCTGCATCAGAATTAACTTGTACAAGCATAAAAAAAGAAGCAGCAGTTTTTGCTACTCTTGCCGCTTTAGGTGTGAACGTAGCATTACAGTGGCTAGCTTCCAGCCATGGCGTCCTGCACGAGCGTTGGGGGGTCGATTAGTTAATGTGTCAGGGTATGCCCACAGCGGGGAGGAGCAAGCAGACAACCACGAGTGACGTGTCAGGAACCAATCGTGTGCAACGGACCGTGTTTTTTGATTGGTTGGGGTTATTCATTGATTTCTCACTGTAGCGGGGACCATTTATTTCAGGTTCACTTCCAGACCATCTATTTCACTGCTTGCTAAGCAACTCTGGGGAGATCTTTAAGCCACATGGTAAAAAAATGCGTAAGAAAAAATCTCTTACCGCACCTTTACCTGGGAAGGGATTTCTTGCAGCGTGTACTTTAGGCTAAAATATTTTCCTGTGTAGTGTCTAATCTTTATTAAACAAATGCTGCAATACGAGGGACCTAAAGAGACATTCCTGACCTCTGCACCTGAGGTCTTGTAAAAGCTGGAAGTCCCTAATTCGAACTCTTAATTGTCTAAATAACCTAAGACTGTCAGGGGCTCAGAATATAGAACTCAGAATTTAGAAAAGAGAAACAGTGGTTATGACTTAGAGACTTTAGGAAGATTTTATTTTGTCATTTTGTACACACAAGTGTGAACAAAAAATACATTTTGTTAGGTACAGCTCTCTTGGCTATTATATATATATTTTTAAAGTGCAGCCTTGATAAGGTAAGCAGCGGTGATAAAAACATTGTGATGAAAAACAGTGATGAAAACATATTACTGTATAGTTACAGTTCTAACATTCAGGTTTTAGTTTTTTATCAGTAATTAATTGGTAATTAATTAATTAGTAATAAATTAGCAACTAATGAGTAATTCAAAGGTGTTTATTTAATAAGTGTGCGGCTGCACTGGAAACTCGGCAGAAGTAGACTGGCGCATCCTATTCTGCTGCCATGTGTATTTTAATTCGGCTGATGGCTCTGCAGCTTTTGCTTTATCACAGCTATACCTACTGTGTGTCCCAGATTCACTATAGTACTGCATCATGATTGGACAAACCATTCAGGGTCGTTCTTGAACAGTTGAAGCAGAAGCAGGATAAGTAGGATTCTTGTGTGTTTTTGAATGCAAATACTGTAAGAATTTAGCTTGCAAGCAAGGTAACCCAAGAGTTGGAATTGCAAGTTGGGGCATATGATCAGGCCATACCAGACGTCTGCACTCATGCTGGCTGTTACTGGCAACTAACGCAGTACTGGCAGTTCTTTCTTATTTATGTGGCATTTGGTCAGTCAATCTGCCTACTGTTTAAGTTTTTTTTTTAGCTCAGTGCTTCTATAATCTCTATTGGAACTGTTTAGCTTGCGTGTAAAATGTATGTATAGGAGGAATGGCTTTCAGCTCGTTTGGGGGGAGCTAGAGGCTTTGTTTATGATTTTTCAAACCCAGTGAGAGAAAATAAATCTTCCTGAGAGATGTTTAAAGATTAAAAAAACAAAACAATTTATAACCTAGGCCCTCTTAACCATGTTGAATTAGTTGGCCATCTAATTTTTTTTTGTTTCTGATAAGCATTTAACTATTAAATGTATTTTCAGAAACTCAACATTCATATCCTATAGGTGTCATGATGGGTTCTAGAGTTAAGCCCAAAATGCAGAACACACACGGAGGGACTGGGTAAAAGTTCAAAAGAGTTTATTGAAGCACAACATAAAGATGAAACTGGAACTGGTTCAGGCAGAGGAGCAGGTTCACTGGAGATTGTAGGTTAGCAGAGTTCATGAGCAAGCTAAGCATCTAGCTTCATACTAGCT